GGCAGAAGTAATTTTCATAAGACAAAGCCTTAAAAGCAATTTTAGAAATTATCCACAGAATTATAGTTAAAAGAAGCAAATCCATGCTTGTACCAAAGCTCCCTTAAACAGGGCTGCAGGGTATTAAGAACAGGTCTCAACGCATATTTGAAACTGGCTGCTGTGATTACACACACAAGTGTACAGAGCAATGACCGATTCACTGAAACAAATCAGAGTGGCCTGGTTGAAAAGGACCACAATGTCTGGTTTCAACCCCCTGCCATGCACAGGGTCACCAACCACCAGCCCAGGCTGCCCAGAGCCACATCAGCGTGGCCTTGAATGCCTGCAGGGATGGGGCATCCACAGCCTCCTTGGGCAACCTGTTCCAGTGCCTCAGCACACCCTCTGTGTGAAAAACTTCTTCCTAAGATCTCCTAAATCTCCTCCTCGGAAGCAGAGCAGAAATAGAAGTGATTACCTGCTTCTTCCACAGAGTACATTTCCCGCCAGAACATCCTGTGCTTGTAGTCGTCCTTTGGAGCATACAGGTATGTATTCAGTCCCCACTTCTGAAGCCTATGAGCACAGGATGAAAGCCTTAATTGCAAGAGCAAGCTACAGATCCAGAAATTCTATGTTTTATTTGGCTCGTGTTTTTTTTCTACACCCCTTCATTGAAGATTGTGTTATACTATCAAGTACACACTTGATATGGGACAAATTTGGTTTAAGAGAGACAGGACTGTGCATATGCATCTCCAGAATACAGACAGTATGCAAAACGTTGCTCTAGGTTAAGCCTGAAAAGAATTTCTGTTCTAAGTGGAAGATCATGATTACATTACACTGGAATGTGCTGCAGAGAGAGGAAGCATGACTTGCCTTCTAAAAAGTTCTTTCCTCTGCTCCATAACCCAAGGTCTTCCATAAAAGCCTACAGGAAACAAGACCAAAGTTATCCAGTTAGATGTTAAATAGTGCCCGTTCCATGAAACAAAGTATTACAACCAACCCTTCTCTCATTTTCTTCCTCTACCAATAAACTGATTCTACTACATTCATCATGAAGTTTCCCAAAGCAGAATGGAGAAAAAAAACCAGCTAGACAGCATTACAAAAATGTAATAAACCAATCAGATCTACATTTAAAATGCAATTATAGCTTCGTTAATTTTTGATGATCCAAAGCCTGATAAAATTTGGCCATGAAAGCAATTCATTTTCAGAACCCAAACTGAATTCCTGAGCACATGCCCTTCACAAGCCAAGTCAGCACTATGGTAAGGGCAGACTGAAGAGTCGTAACCTAACTGGACTATTGCTTCAGACACCTGGAAAACACCTTCAGCTGTAACACGAATACTGGAAATGCCTGATACTATTTAGCAGCATTAAAACGCTTAACTCCAGATACAGATTAGAAACCTAAATACATACACATAGTATACAAATACACACTGAGGAGAACAATAGGTAAGTATGAAATCTTGAGCATTTTGTTGAATCAATCACCCCAATTAACGGGTTTCATGTCACAATTAACTCAGTTGATCTCCCACACGACAAGTGCCTACCTCTCCAAAAGCCAAGATAGTCTTTGAATAATCATATAAAAACACTAAGAGATTTTACAACGGTGTATCTTCGAGGTCACTTACTTCTGCATGAATTCTAACACATTCTGAGTTCAATTCTACTCCCCCCATTCCAAAAACATAATGCTTAAATAAAAATAGAGTGCTTTTTGAAGTGAATTCACTTAGACCTCTGTGCAAACAGCTCAACCACTGGCACGTCGAAACAAACCTTCAGCCTGGCAGTCTGTGCAAGACATCAGTTCAAAATGTGAGCAACATCTCCATTTTCAGAGCTATTCACCGTTGTAAATCTGTTCTTAAAGAAGCCAGAGAATGCGCTCCTACAGCCTGTCAAAGCTAATGCAATTTCTACACGTTCACAACCATTTCATTCGCCCATTAAGAGATCAAAGATCATCTTAAGAAGTTTAAAGCAGGCTCAAGTTTTCAGAATTAGTCTCCCAGAGAAGTGACCTCAGACTAACTGGCACCACAACGTGGAAAAGCTGAGTAACTACTGCTTCTCACTGAACTGCGAGGTGACGAATTGAGGATGGTGTAACAGAGGAACAAATGAGAGAACAGCTGCAACGCCTCTGAGACTGCTTCACCCAGAAAAAACTCCTCATTTTCACTAGTGACTTCACGCTGACTAATGCCAGTCCGAGGAAGCTCAACAACTCACAAACAGAACAAGTAACTGTAGCACCCAGTCAATACCACCCACATCTCATAACTTGTTCAGAACATTTCTACTTCAACAATGTTGCTGCTTCAGACCTAGCAGCCTGGAGCAGAGCAGGGGGCTACTGCAAAAAAAAACAAAAAACAAAACACAACATGAAGAACAAGACGAGCAGTTTGAACAGAACACTGAAGAGAACATGCTAGTCAGAACTGATACAGTACTCTTCCATCTGTCAGCACATTTCTTATATTACTGATGTCATCAGCTGATGGCTATCCTTGGATCTCTATCTAACTAAAACTGACCCGGTTTTCTATTACTCCCTCAAGACTGCATGTCAGGTTCACACAAAGTCACGAGATCATGCCAAGTATTCATATCCCAGCTGCCACACTCACCACCACTAAAAGCCAGGCTGGCTGTCCTGGAGGATGAGCACCATCTCTGTGCATTCCAGAGCTTACATTTTATGACTCTCAAAACGGTGCACTCAGTGGACTGTAAGTTCCTCACATTCTTTGAGTGCATTCCCAGTATAATTGCCTGCTATTTTACTAATTTTTACCTCCTCTTCCTGCAAAACATCTGGACTCTGCTGTTCACCGCTTTAATTACATGGTATCTCTAGGCTGTGTTAGCTGCTGCACTATGTGTTTACCTTTGCTTCTGCAGTTAATCTGTTCTTCTCTTAACCTGATAAGCCTCACGTTACTACAGAGACCGGCATTTCCTTCTGCTCCCACTTGCCTCAGCCAACACAACTGCTGCTTTGTTTTTACACTCCCTCATTCCTAGTCTTCTGTACACACACAGGGCTACACAGATAACTCCCAGCTAACATTAGACTGCTTCACTGGGCAGGAGCCATTTTCTTGCTTCATTTTACTATGTAGTCATGAACACCTATATTTATAGCAGCTGCTGCTAAGTACATGCAAATGAGATCTACAATGTAATTAAAACACCCCAAAAAACGGCCACGGTGCACACACAGTGGTTTGACACACTCTGTGATGCTCAAGGTGCATTGTTCAGGAGTGTGAGAAATCACACAGTTACACTCTTTATTTCTGCCCACTACTACCTGTCTCCAAAGGACATTTCTCCACAGAGAATGGTTTAATAACCAGCCCATCTCTCTCCACATTGGCTATATTTAAGCCCCAGCAATACCACAAAGGAAAGGCACGAACCAGGCCTAGTGCACATCACACAGCAATGTACGCTGGAGCCAAATGCTCTATTTAAGATATGAACAAAAGACGTTCTGCAAGCAGTGCAGATATTGACTTTGATAAACTGCCCATTCAGCTTCTCATCTGTTAACGCTTTTGTTCTCCTCCTGGAGAGTCATTATAGATACCAAAATAACAGCAGTCTACAGGAATTTAAAGGTATTCCAAGCCAGCTAATTAAGTAGAGAAGAAAACATCTTTCTCGCTGGCTTTCAACCATCTACCTTAACCAAGACGGCAAAAACGCACGTCAGTTCGGTAGTTACTGACAAATGGAAAACGAGCCCTTCTCTTCTGAAGCTTCTGGAACAACTTAAACCTTTGAATAGAGCCTCTATAACAAACTGAGTGAAAGAAACATCCTATAGCGCTGTTAAAACGTTAAGCCATAACACCGCAGGGCAGAGGGAGCATCTGACATTAATCGCAGAACAGATGTCTCTGCGATCACCTACTCCTTACCCTAGAAACCCAACCCGAGCCGCGCGTACAGCCGGGCTAATCGCAGCGGAGCGCTCCCCTCCCTCCTCCCCCTTCCCACACGTACAGCACTCGAGCCGCCCGGCCTCCCGCAGGAATCCTCGGCCCGCCGCGTTAGCCAAGGCCCGCCAGCCAGCGGCTCCCGGCACGAGCCGCCCCGCCCGGCACCCGCGGCTGCCCCGCCCCCAGCCCGCACCGCCCGAGCCCCGCGACCCCCCCGGCACACGGCGCCGGGATCTCGGCCTCCCCTCCCCGCCAGCTCTCACCTTCCACCACGCCGCAGAGGAAGCGGCGGGAACCCAGCGCCGTCTCCGTCTCCGTGTCGGTTTCCTCGCCCCCCGGGACGGCTCCTGCGGCGGCGCCCGGCGGTTCCAGAGGAGCTCCGGACGCTCCGGCCGGGTTGGGGCTGCCCTGGGGCTCCTCCAAGGCCGCCTGCCCCTCCTTCTGCACCATCCTGCCGCCGGCCGCCAGGACCCCCGCTCTCCGGGCCGAGCCCCCGCTCCCCACCCCCCTTCTCCCCTTTGTCTCCGCCGCCCCGGGACGCCGCCGCCGCTTCCTGTTTACGGGGCCCTGCGCCTGCGCGCCGAACCGGCCCCGACCGGTCCTCACCGCTCCGCCCGCGGCTCGGAGAGGCGCGGAAACGCCGCCGCGGGGCCGAGGGAAGCCGGGAACCGGGCGGGAGATCGCGGCCGAACGCCTCTCCCCGTCGCGCCGCCGGGAGCGCGCGGCTCGAGCGGGAACGGCGGGCCGAAGAGAGCGAGCCGCCGCGGGGAACGGGCGGGCGGAGGGGAGAGCCCGCCTACGGCGCGTGCGCAAAAGGCGGAAAAGAGCGCGGCGCGCGTGCGCGAAGGGCGGGCGGGGGGGAGGGGCGAGGCCGCGGCGGCTCACGGCGCCTGCGCAGGCGGCCGGATCGTGCTTAATGCGCGTGCGCGAGAGGCCCCGGGGAAGGGGAGAGGCGGCAGCTCGGCAGCGCGCAGGCGCGCGGCGACAGAAGGCGCTTGCGCAGTCGGCTTTGTGTAGGGAAGCGGCGCGGATGGGGAAGGGGTGGGAATTAAGTGTTTACTTCTGCGCTGCGCGTGCGCGCCGCGGACGCCCCTTGGGTGTGCGCGTGCGCGTTTGCATTTGCGTTCGCTGCGGTGCCGGCGGTGCCGCTGTTGCGCGAGTTCCCCTGGGCGCTGACCTGATTTGCTGCGGCGCGCTGAGCCGGGCCGGCGGGGAGGCTCAGAGGTTTTGGGGTTCGGGGACTGCAGAGAAAGCCGTGGGCCGGCCTCCGTGCTCCCTGTTTCCCCAGCTCCCCCCTCCAAACGTCCGACAAAGGCAGAGGGGAATACCAGCAGTGTGCATAGCGATCGTGGTTAGATTTTATTGTCTTTTTCTTTTTTCCTCCCCACCCCTCCCCCCATTTTTTTTTTTTTAACCCATCTTATCGTTATAATACAAAATATACAGACTGGAGATGCCAAGCGGGTTGTGGTTTACCATGCCCTGGGGCGGGGGTCACGCCATGCGACTGCAGCGTGAGGGAGGGAGGGATGGGGGAATGGAGAGATGGAGGGCCTCTGCACCCAGCAGGACAGGAGGTGCTGGGGTTGGGGTTACCTGCCCTCCCACCCAGGAACAGGGCTGTGAGATGAACATTGTGGTGGACGGAGCTAAAAAACATCACGTCTGCGCAAGCCAAGCCTGGAGCAGTGGGGGCTGCTCCACAGCTGAGGCTCAGGGCCCTGTGAGGGGGTCCGAACGGCTCTGATACCAGGGCTCAGCCTGGTGTGGTGCACAGCCTTGCTCACCCATTCCCCGTTGACCCCAGCCGCTGCTGCCCCTCTGGACACAGTGTTGGGAGAAGCTGGGCCAGGCTGTGGACTAGGACCTGAAGCCGGTGGGGCTGAGCAGGAGTTTGATGTGGAGACAATAGCCCCCAAACAGTACTTGGAGGGATATGTGGGTGGGACAGGAGTGCACACCCAGCTCCAGGCAGCTGTTAGCGACGAACAGGGAGCCCGGCACCCTGAGTGAGCGAGGAGGGGGACAAGTGGTTCATGTCCCATGTAGGGGACGTGTCCCTAACATCAGGGCACAGGAGGAAGCTGAGGCGCTGATGCCTGCTGCGAGATTCTTAGTTCCTAGAAGTGTTGCTGGAGGGTCTAGGCTGGAGCCGGTGCTGGGGCTGCTGGGGGGGTCATGATGTGGGGGCACAGGGAAGGCCCTATGGCAGCCCAAGGCTGCGGCTTTCCCTCTAGGATCGGGTGCAAGAAGCCCACCTAGGCCGGATGCCCCATGCCAGCTGTGCCCACGCTTTGGTGGCACTTTTGTGTGGGGCCCCCAAGGAAAGCGGGGCTGGCCTTGGGGGAAGGATACATCCAGGTGCTGACCATGTCTCTGTGTGGCAGCTGGCAGCAGGAAGGGCTGGAAGGAGAAGTTGAGAGAGGAGTGGGGTCTGAGCCCGATGTCAGAAGAGCTCAACTGGAGACAGCTAAATGACGTTGTCGAAGAGCTGCATGGACCTCATGATGTTCTCATCCTGCAGGGAGGAGGAGGGTTTGGGCACAGAGCAGCTCTCTGGGCTGCTCCCCCAAAGCGGGTGTCACCCCATGGATCATGTCCAGCTGCTTTGACACACAGGACAGGAGCTCTGGGGCTTACATGGGCCGTGCTGGGATGCACTGTTCCCCACCCACACAGGGATGATGGCATGAACATGGCTCCTAGTGCAGAGCCCCAGCAATGCTGCACTGAGCCCTGTGGCCTTACCTTCTGGCAAGACTCCAGGAACTCCTCGATTGTCACCACACCATCTTTGTTTCGGTCCATTTTCTAGAGACAAGCACAGCATGGAGGGCAGTGCAGGGATGGGGACAGTCCAGCACCCCCAGCCCAGGTTCCATGGTGGCTGGATGCAAAGCAGAGCACCCACTGCCAAAACCTTTACAGAGAGCACTTCGGGCTTGAAAACCTCCCTGTCCCAGGCAAGCTGCTCACTGGAACCCTGCTTTGTCCCCAGCATAGGGTGTTTTCTGCATGCAGGGTCCCAACTGATGTGCCCAGCTCACCTGGAAGAAATTCTCCACATGCTCCCGGGGTGCTTCCTCCCGCATGGCCGGGTAGGTGTACTTGCCCATCATGTCGTAGATGGATTTCATGATGTCCAGCATTTCCTGGAGAGAAGGCAGTGTTGCAATGTGGAGAAGCTCTGCCTCCATCTGGTTGTCATTGCAAATGTTCATTATGCCCCCAAAGGACCCATTAAATTCTCAAGGAAATGCCCTGAGCCCTGCCCTCATCCCCACTGGGTGCAGAGCTGCTTCAGTCTGGACCCCTCTCTCACCTCTTTGGTAATGCAGCCGTCTTTGTTCAGGTCATAGAGATTGAAGGCCCAGTTCAGGCGGTCATCAATGGTACCTCGCAGGATGATGGACAGCCCAGACACAAAGTCCTGCAAAGCAGGTGGTCACCCTTTGGAATGACAGCCCCACAGAGATGCCACGAGTCTTTTCCCTCAACCAGAAACTACAGAACTCTTTCTGTTGTTGCTTTGTACTGTTTTTCCCACTAACAAAGTCCTTCAGTAGCTGCCCATGGCAGTCCCAGCCCACGGCACACAAACAGAGAGCCCCTGGCAAAGCCTGGCCCCCTCCTTGGCTCACCTCAAAGCTGACAGAGCCATCGTGGTCAGTGTCGAAGGCATTGAAAAGGAAGGTGGCATACGTGCTGGAGTCTGGAGGAGGCAAACAGTGAGAGAGAAGACAGCCCCACATGGGACACCAGGGATGGGGACCCACACTCACCTCCTTGTGGGAAGAACTGCGAGTAGATCTGCTTGAAGTTTTCTTCATTAACGATGCCACTTGGGCACTCCTGCCAGGGCAAATGGAAGCGTCACACCATCAGCATGGGGAATGGTGTGATGCTCAGGGCTCTCTGCCCCTAAATCCCAGGATTGGGGCACCCCCCAAAGCTTCAGGGGAAACCACATCCCCTCTGCTGCCATCTGTAGCCATTCAGAGCGTGACAACAGGACGCAAAAGTATCCCCAAGGGGTGCATGGCTGCAGAGAAGGAGTGAGGGCTACTCACGTTCTTGAAGCCCCGGTACAGGACCTGCAGCTCTTTGCGGGTGAACTTGGTCTGCTCCTGGAGCTGCTCCAGCCCCTCGGGGCGGTGGCAGACGGTGGAGAGCTCAAACTCATCCTCGACACTGTCTGCAAGGAAGTTGGGGGAGGAGAGGGCAGTTGAAGCCATGCTGTCCTGCCCAGCCCTGCAGTGCTAGGGGCAGGAGGTGTACTTCACACTGCACACTTCCACTCAGGACAGCAGGCTTCTGGGGTGTCCCGCTCAGCTGCAGCCAGGTGTATGCCAGGAGGGAACGCAGGCCTGCCTGCTCTTCCCTAGCATGATCATCTGCCCCATAGAGCCGAGACCCTGGATGCCTGAAGATCTGTGCTGCGCTGAGGCTTGTGTCTAGCAGATCTCCCCCCCCCTCTCTGCCCCCAACTCCAAACATCCCCTCCTGCCTTGTCTAGCTCCCGTCCTGTCTGCTGTGCCCCATCTTCAGCTATGGTTTCTTCCCATTCCTACAGTGACCAGAGCCCCCACTACAACCCTGAGAGGCCCTGGATCCCCAGACTCTGCCCCCTCATACTCACCTCTTCTCTTGGGGGGACTCAGCTTATGCCGTGGAACAGGGAACATTCCCATTCAGGGTCTCCCAAAGGGCCAAGCATGACCCAGGACAGGCTGGGGGGCTCTGTCTCTACTCATCCCTCTCCCTCCCCTTCACATCTCAGACACAAAGCTTCCAGCAGCATCCTCCAGCCAGGGTGTGGTTCTACTGCCCCCAGCCAGGTCCAGCCACACCATGCATCCCATCAGAGCCTCTCCAATGTGCTGGAGGGGGTAAAACAGACCGGGAGCAGGCGAGGAGGGAGGTGGGTGCAGAGCCCATTGGATCGGACCCTCAGGGGCAGGACTGATCCTGACCCCCCCCACGCTGCAGGGCAGGGGGGACGGCAGCCAGCAGCACTGCTGTGGACACACACACACAAAGGCAAGAAGAAGCACTTGCTTTCGCTGAGCGAGGGGATGGATTTGGGCCGGCAGCAGGGCAGCAGTTTGAGGAATCGCTGCTTCAGCGCTTTTTTAGTTTGGCCCGGCGGGTTGCCTGGAAGAAAGAAGGAGTCACCAAGCAGAAGAAGAGTTAACAGAGCAGCGGGCCCCGGATGCAGGGTGTCCGGCATGGGGTGAGTGGGACCAGTGCATGCAGATGGGGATGGAGCAGGGAGGCAACGCCCAGCCCAAATCTTTCAGCCTTTCTGCTCCATCCCAGGACAAACCCGGCCCAGTTGCTTCCCTCATTGAAAGGGAGTGATAGAAAGGTGGCCCTGACCCATGGCCAGCATGTCTGGACACCCATCAGAGCACAGCAGTGTGCGGTGGAGCCCGGCAGCCAAGGAGATGGCAGGGCTTTGCCCTTTAGCCCCAAAGCCAAATGCCTGCTCCATGGGGAACTCCCTCCAAGTGGGGCTGTACGGGATGAAGTCCAGGATGGGACTGCATCCCCCAGGGCACTACGTCCTACCCAGGGGCACGGGGCCGGGTTTAATCCTGCTGGCCCATAGAGCTGAACACGAAGCATGCCCCCAGCTCAGCCATGCAGCCCCTCTGCTGCATGCATCCCCACCCCAGTGCAGCCAAGCCCAGGGCCCTGGGTGGGGACAGCCAGGAAGGAATGGAGTGCAGGGCCTTTGCCTCTTCCAGGAGTCATCCCCTGCTTCAACCTGGTCGCTGCCATTGCTTCCAGGTCCCCCTGCTCTTCACCCCCTTCCCCAATCCTTAGACTTTATCCCACTGTTGGCCATGACCCATCTCTCCTAACCTAGTGCTGCTCCTTGGCCACATACCTGCTCCCCCCTTTCCCAGGGCCTCACAGACTGCCCCAAGCTGGCAAGCAGCACAGGGTGAGCAGCATAGGTGGGCAGGAGGAAGAGGAGGAGAGGAATGCCATGCTGGGCTCCAGCCCCCAAAGGCAGGCAGGCAATAGGACAAAAGGTGCAAAGTCCCTTTGAATACACACCAGTGGGTGGCTCTATTGCTTTCAGGTAGTGGAAAATAGTTCTAAGAGGTCGGTGGCCCCCAATGGGATGTCACACAAAGCCACTCAGAGAAGGCAAGTGTGTGCCTAGGGAGACGCATCCTCAGCAGGGATGCTGCAAGCATGGTTTTACCCAGCTATTTTACGGGGCTGCTATTTGCATCGGGACATGGCACCTTCCAGCCTGCCCAGATTCCTGCATCCAGCCCCATCCCCAACAGCATCACACTGTGGGACCAGCCCTAGGAGCAGGAGCAGTCCTGGGGACAGGGCAGGCAGTGACACAGCACTGGCGGTGAGACCACGGGAGGGATGGGGCAGGGGGAACCACCAAGCCAGAGAGATGCAACAGAGAAAAAAACGTGGTTGGACTCACAGGGGCAGCAGGTATAGGCACGTGCAGTAGGTCAGGTCGGGTGCAAGTTACACTTTAGTTTGTTATAAAGAAGGAAAAAGAAAAAAAAAAATAACACAGGCGTTTTCTTAAGGAGGAAACCGAATAGGGCGCGATTCTGGGGGACCCAGTTTGGGAGGGAGAGGGTTCAGCACATGCAGTTTAACAACAGGAGAGGGAGACTGGGGCTGGCGCTTTGCTGTCCTGGCTTTGGCACACCCAAGGGCTCTGCTGGGGATGGCACAGTGTCCCCTTGTCTCCAGCATCCACCCTGGATGTGATAGGGTCAAAAAACAGCTCAAGGGCATCCTCACGCACAAGCAGCCCCTGGGCACAGTTCCCTGCTCTCTGCCACCGATTGCCTCACTGTTATCTGCATGCCCTCCATCACACTCCTCATCCTGCCCAGTGGAATGAGACCTGCAACCTCTTCATCTCACAGCATCCTCAATGATGGCTATGATGGGTACAGTGGGAAATTCACAAACTCAAAGCACACTGAATAGAGTCTGCCAACAACCTTCACCCCAGGCGGAACTGCTGGTAGCACGGATCAAGATGGCAGCCAAAAGGAACAAGCAGCAACACTGTGCCTCTCTGCACTCCAACATCTCCAGGCACAAGCAACAGGTCCTGCATCCCCTGCCCCAGCTTATTTTGGGTCCAGACCCAGCTATTCTCCCCACCCTAATGCTCCCAGCCATCCCAACTTTCAGTAATGCAGCACCACAACACCCCACATCCCAATGACTCAAGTATCCCCCATTCCAGCATCCCTGATACCCCTACATCCCAATGCCTCTCCCCACTCTGGTATTGTAACAATCCCCAATAACTCACATGCCACCACCCAAATCCCTCACTTTCTGAGCTTCTTACATCCTGGTGCCCTCAGACACCCGCATACCCTCCCCATGCCCCAAAACACATTCTCCTCAGCACCCTGAGAGCACCCTGCAGCTCCTGCATACTGCACACACTGCCCTGACACAGGAAGCGGGGACCAACTTTTACACTACACCCCTACCCCGTTGTAAATCCACTTCATCGCATCCCCACCCCACTGCAACCCCATCACAGTTTTGGTTCCACCTCCTCCAGTCAGGTGGATAATGCCCAAGACATGGAGCAGCTTGAAGCTGAAGCAGAGCAGCAGGATAATGCCTACTGTTTTCAGCTCCTGCAGATCCCAGAGTGCAGCAGGGAATGACATCCCTCAGCTGCAATGCCTGACCCAGCAAGGCAGGAGAGAGGAGAGCGTGGGATGCAGCAGTTTGGGGTCCCCTCATTGGGCACATCAGTGACAGGAGGCAAGAGCCCAGCCAGAGGGAGTTGGGAGGGGAGCAGTGTGAGAAGTGATTAATGTGAAGCCAGAGGGAGAAGAGATTCAACAAGCTAATTATGTCTGGCTGGGCTGAGCGGGATATGACGCTATGCCAAGTCATAGGGGTGCACACCACGGTCCTCAGGGCTGCTCAGTGCTGGGAGTTAGAGGCAATGGGGTCAGGATGCAAGGCCAGGTCCTGCCCTCTGCCTCCTCCTCACCCCGCAGGGATGCTCACCCCACTGGGAGGTGCCTCCCAGCCCCACATCCCAGGCAGCACCCACCCACCACACCCTAGGAGCTCACCAAGATGATCCCTTCCACCCACCCCACAGATGGGACATGGCACTCACTATCCCATCACTCAGAGTCTGCAGCTCCATCTCATATTCATCCACTCTGTTACATGGGCGGCTCTCCTGGCTCTCTGTCTGCCTGCCCAGCCCTGCTCCCAGCCGGAGCCAATTTCTCCTCAATTAATTATTGATACTGCACTTCAGCAGCCAAAAACAACAGTTTTTTTCTTCTCCTGTCCCCTCCCGAGGACTTGGCCACGTCAGGCTCTTGGCAGGGGTTGGTGATGGGCACAGGTCAGGCGGTGGCACAGGGCACAGCGGGGTGACAGCACTTGGCAGTGATTAACTGGCTGGAAAATGACACCAGGTGTAGAGTCACCCCTGAGATGACACTGGCATGGCCACACGGATGGGACAGGGGGGACTGGCTGTGGCTTCAGCACCGTGTGTGGGGGAAGTGCAGCCGCCTTGGTTGCTCTGGAGTGCCGTCCATTAGCGGACCCAAACCATTAGTGTATGGTTTCAGGCTCTTTGCAGTCCATGGGCTGTCATTGCATGCAGCTGGTAAACAACAGGCAGGCAGGGCACTAGACACTTCCCCATCCTCAACACCACCTGGGGCCGTTCTCAATAGGCAAAGCATCCTATCTGCCACCTCCAGAGCCCAGGGGGTGACAAAGCCTCTGAGAGACACAGGCAGCACTCAGGGCATGGTACCAGGACCCAGCCTCTCCAGCCAGGCGTTTCCCTCTCCTCCACTCACCCCTGTGGGGATGGGAGCTGATGCAGGGCACCTGGTCCCACTCCTGTCTCTAGAGCTGGGGCAAATCCCTATGCTTCTCAGTGTCCCTAGCCAAGGGGACATGCAGGTCCCAGTGTGGTGACATGGATAGAGAGGGGCAGCCCATCCAAACTTCATGGTGGTGATACCATGAGATTAAGGACTACACGGACTACTACTGTTGTCCTTCTGAATGTGTGGGCACAGGACCTCCATCCCCACTGCTACAGACTCTCTTGCTGGGGACAAGAGCTGTGCCCCTGGGGACAGGGCTCAGCCAAGGGCTGGTTCTTGCCGTGCGCTGTGCCTCCCAGTAGGGTTGGCATCGACTGGCTCCCCTCTGCTTCCCCCTCCCCACTGCAGCTTGGAGCCAGCACACCACAGTGCCACTGATTTCGGTACAGGGCTTAGGGCAACAAAAGCAGGGGGACAGGGGTAGCCAGAGTCTGCATCAGCCCTAGGACGCACTGGAACTGTGGTCCAGGCAAAGTGCCCATCGCGTCCTGATGGTGTACCCACAGCATCCTTCGGGTGGGTGGGCTGCATGCTGCCATTCCCTGCCCCCAGAGCACCCCAGAGCCCCCAGCACACCCCAATCTCACACAGACACCCCATTATCCCTGTGCCACACTGGGGTCCCACCTTCTCCCCCACATCCCTGGCCACCAGAACTCTACATGGAGCAGGCAGGACACCCTATCCCCATGTTCACCCCTACCAGCTGCAGACACCACGTCCCAGAACCCTAAAAGCATCCGTGGGGGCAGCTCTGGGGCTCCCTACACAGCCGTGACCCTGGTGAGGTGGGAACCCACCAGATGGTGCCCTCCCACTCCAGTTACCTTCCAAGGACACGGGCTCGAAGAGGCCGAACTGCTCCAGTACCTTGACGAAGAGAACCAAGACCACCAGCACTGCAACCATCTCCAGGCCTTCCAGGTTCATGATGGGGGTGTCTCATGGCCCCCTAATCACCTTGAGCCTTCTCACCCCAACGCCACAGCTGCTGGGCTATGCAGCCCCAAGGACCCCTGATGTCCCCGAGGATGTCAGCTGTCCCTCTGCTATTTGGGGCCACGTGAGAGTGAGGGGTGAGCATGGGGCTGTCACAGGAGCCAGTAGCCAACAGCTCTGGCAAAGAAGGGCTGTGCCTGTGAGTAAGAGCAGAGCAAGGCCACGCGGGGGGGGGGGGGGGGGGAAGGGGGGGGGTGGCAGGGCATGGGGGAGGCAGGAGGCATGCACTCCCATTCCAATGACACCACTGCCATCGATTTGCTTAATGCAGTTGCTAAGGAAACAGGCCGCAGATTATTGAAAGGCACTTGGCTCCCAGGGGGGGACACGACAGGGACAGGACACTGGGCACTGGCAACACATCCTGGACTTGGATGACTCAGACTTGTCCTCTGCACCCCATATACATACCCACCCCACAGGGACCCACCTGGCTCAGAACACCAAGGGGTGCCTAAAGGTCCCCATAGCCCAGTGGGTACAGTCTGGGGTCATGACTGGGTGTCACCAGGGCCATGGAGCAGGTCCAGCTGCTGAACTGTGGGACCAGCATCCTTAAAGCACGGGGTGGTGGGGGTGTACCCCAAACAGGGAGCCCTGGGGACCCAGCCAAGGTCAGGCAGAAGCAGGCATGCGGGCACCTCCAGCAAGCAGCCTGCGCAGCCGCCAGGGCTATATTTGGCTCCATGCATTTTTTACAGCATCCCAGCCCTTGCTCCAAGGGTGTCCCGGTCCCACGTGGGGGGGACTGAGCGAGAGCACTACCAGCATCAGTGCAGGGAATGGGGCTGCCCCCATGCTGCAGGGCCAGGTGGGGTGGCAATGCTCAGGCTACAAAGCAGCCCCTGCCTAACTGTTGGGTCCCTGCTGATGGGCCAGGGCACAAAGCCCATGGGGGAAACACATCACTGGAGGAAGGCACATCACACTGTGTGGGACCTGCTGGAGGAAAGGGCTGGTGAAGGTGCTGATGGCTCCCAGCTGGGCCACCCCACACCAAACCCGCAGGCCCCATTCCCAGCTGCAGGTTACTCCCCAGCAGGTGGCCTAGTGCCTGCTGGCAGCACGGCAGGCCCAGCATCTTCTCCAGCCAAAAGATGCTAGCAAGGCATCAGGAGAGGCTCCGGGAGAGTGATGGAAGCCCTCCCTGGGGAAACATCCATTGGGCTGGAAGTTTGCAGGGCTGTTTCCTTTTCTTGGAAAGCAGCGAGTTTCTAGGCACTGAGGCTGGAAGCAATGGGGCTGGCCCTCAATCTTGCTCCTGCCCTGAGTGACTCCTTTGGGGACAAGGTGACACCAGCCTGTTACACACTGAAAGTAAGTTTCCCCCAAAGCCAACTGCTCTTGCTGAGCCTATCCTCTCCCCAGCCTGAATGCTCCCACAGCTGAGGGCTGTCCCTGTGCTACCAGACAATTTCAGCAACCTAATTCTGTCCAAAAACAGCCCAAGCACCCCCAGAGGGGCCCCTCCAGATAAAACATGTCCCAGCAAGAAGGGCTGGCTCTCTGCAATGCTCCTTCAGCTGCAGCTGCCCTGAGAATGGAAGGGATGCATGGGATGACCCAGAGTTAGACCTGCAGCCTGCAAGAGGAAGGTCCAGATCCCACACACATCACCAGAAGTGGGGCAGAGCCCACTGAGAAGCATCACTGCCAGCATATGACTGCATCACAGGAAGAGCCCACAGGCCCTGTACAGGCAGAGGTTGCACGGGTGGATGGAGAAACACATGCCCTGGGGTCTGCATGGCCCTGGACACAGTGATCATCGGAGCTGCTCCAAGGTGCTGGAGGGAGTAAAACAGCTCGGGAGGGACCAAAAAGCTGTCTCCACTGGGGCACCCCACCAGTTACTCCAGAGACAGAATAGGAAATGCTGGGAATGTTCTTGCTTCTGAAGCGGGCACTGCTGCGGCTGTCACCACTTTCCCGGCACAGCAGCACCAGGGGGGACAGAAGGGAGACCTGAGGTGAACGAGGTGCCCAGAGAGATGCCCTCAGGCACCCAGTGCCTAGGTCACCCCACCAAATGGCCTGCAGAGAGGGTGGCATCGCTCCGTCCCCCCACATCCCCAGCCCCATACCTTCAATGCCGCTGATGATTTTGAAGCAACGGGTGGTGAACCAATAGGAGATGAGGAGGAGGATGGCAATCAGGGAGGCATAGAGCAGGCTGTCGTTGTGCAGGGATGTCCTCTCCATGGCTCCATCCCCAAACCAACCCCACCGCTATCTGGGGCAGCCCTGCTCCAGCAGCCCCACCACAGAGCCGGCCACAGCGGGCAGGGAGGTGGGAGGCGGGCAGGTAATTGGGAGCGGCGTGTGAGAGCCAGGCTCCCAAACCAATTACCTTAATTGTGCTCAGGCAGCACATGGCAAACAGTTAAAAATAACCCTGCTGGCCCCGGGGGGATCCTGGAACCATCAGGCAGAACACAAAGCAGGGGGCTGAGCATGGGTATGGCTTGCTACACGTGTGGCATCACCTTCAGGCTGCTCTGAGTCTGCCAGCTCCCAGTGAGCCCAGCACCATAGGCCAAGGCAGGGCTCAGGTCCTGGGCAAGGGGACGTGGCCATCCAGAGCAGAGCAAGAAGCACAGGGTGAGGGGGTGCAGCAGGCTCTGGCTGTCCCCTAGGATACACCATGGGACCAGTTGGGAGCACAGCTGATGACATCTGCCCAGGGTGCTGCTGAGTGCCCTGGGGGCCCAGCCTGATGGATAGGAGCCTCTCTTTTTTTTTATTATTTTTTTTTTTTTGGTTCTCGGGGCCATCATCCATTAGGGAGTGTTAAATTTAGGTTACAGCCGATCCCTTATTACCTCGCTGCTAATCAGAGCGCGAGCAGATTATTAATAAGCACATTAAAATATTGGCGAAATGCTATTTTTGGGGAGGTGAAGTCACAGTTTTAATCTGGTTAATTGATTGAGTCATTTCTCTTTTCCTTCCATTGGTGACCTGTCCTTGGTGAGCTCCCCAGGGCACCCACCCCAGAGGGTGCCCACTCAGGGATCTCTGTGCCCAGGCACATGATGCTCCCCACATTCCTTAACTGTGCCGAGGGGCTCATTCCACAAAAAGGGGCCGATGGGGGCACAGAAGCTGCAGGACAC